TTTCCTTTTACACCAAAGGAAGGTAGAGCTAAAATATATCAAGTAATTTTAATATGTCCTGAGAGTTTGAACAAAATTAATAGCTCTTAAACACAGTGCCCTTTAGTGATGTGGCACTTTTGCAACCAAAGTTTTCAATTTAAAAAACTCAGTTAAATCTCAAAGCAACTTAAACAAATAATTTGACCGATAACTAGTAGTAACTTAGTTTGTTTAAATTATTTTCAGGTAATTATGGGCAAATTTTAAAGAATAACAAAGGTCATTTAACACAGTGGTACAATAATTTTTAATGCTGTTTTTCTCAATGCAAAGAAAATAAAAATAGTTTTCAATAGAGATCACAGAAACATACATATATATTTTTAAGTGAGGCAATATTAAAGAGAAGCATATAAATTTCTTCTGTATATAATAGCAGTTTTCCATAGCCTGGAATGTCTGTGGGCTCTCGTTCAGACAGAATCATAGTCAATTCTGTCAGCTGGGCTATGATAGCACCACAAACTCTGTCAATAATTTACTTTTTATTTTCATTCATGACAGTACAATTAAGGTGACTTTTGTGTCCCTGCACAGATTTACGTGATTCTGTGCTTTAATTCTCTTACATGAGACCCAAACACTTTAATCACATTCTCTTCAAAAATATTGAAAATTGTTTATAATGGGCATTTGGTTTTTTAACAGGAATAGAGAAATGCATATATTCAAAAGTGGCTAATGTTATCAAGTGTTTTGTAATGAATCAACTAAATTTCAATGGCACAGTTATAGTCTTTGGAAGCCACTTGTTCAAGTCAAAACTAGTGTTGCAGATTTTGCTTTAAACCTTAGTTGAAAATAGCTCATAAACATCCACATCTAAATGAATCATGACCCATAAACGTTGTTTACCTTATTTTTATGTAAAGTGTGTTATATACATTGGAAATTCATAATAAGGAAGTCGGTACATTCAACAATGGTGGGACTAAAAAGCTTCCACACAACAAAGGAAACCATCTTCAAAATGAAAAGACAACCTAACGATTGGGAGAAGATATCTGCAAATCACATATCTGATAAGGGGTTAATATCCAATATATAAAGAACTCATACAACTCAACAACAAAAAAACCAAACAACCCAATTAACAAATGGGCAAAGCATCTGAACAGACATTTCTCCAAAGAAGTTATACAGATGGCCAACAGGCACATGAAAAGATGTTCAACATCACTAATTATTAGGGAAATGCAAATCAAAACTACAATCAGATAATCACCTCACATCCATCCGAATGGCTATGATTAACAAGACAAGAAATAATAAGTGTTACAGGGGATGTGGAGAAAAGGGGACCTTCATACACTACTGGTAGGAATGTAAATTGGTGCAGCCATTATGGAAAACAGTATAGAGATTCCTCAAAAAATAAGGAATAGAGGGCCAGCCCCAGTGGCTTAGTGCATGCTCTGCCTTGATGGTCCAGGTTCCTTTCCCCGGTGCAGACCTACACCACTTGTCTAGCAGTGGCCATGTTATGATGGTGGATCACACACAAAATAGAGAAAGATTGGAAACAATGTTATCTCAGGGAGAATCTTCCTCAGTGAAACATAAAGATTAAAGAAAGAAAGAATAGAACTACCGTATGATCCAACTATTCCTCTTCCAGGTATTTATCCAAAGAACATGAAAACATGAATGTCAAAAGATATTTGCACTCCTACATTCATTGCAGTGTTACTCACAATAGCCCAGACTTGGAAACAACCTAAGTGCCCATCAAGGGACAAATGGATAAAGAAGATGTGGTATATATTCACAATGGAATACTACTCAGCCATAAAAAAGATAAAATCTTGCCATTTGCAACAGCATCGATGGACCTTTAAGGCATTATGCTAAGTGAAATAAGTCAGAAGGAGAAAGTCAAATACTGTATGATCTCACTGGTCAATAGAAGATAAAAACAATAACAACAACAACAAACAAACTCAAAGATACAGAGATTAGACTGATAGTTACCAGAGGGGAAGGCGGGTAAGTGGGGGTGAAAGGGGTGACTGGGCACATGTGTGTGGTGATGGATGGTAATTAGTCTTTGAGTGGTGAACATGATTTAGTCTACACAGAAATCGAAATGTAATGATGTACACCTGAAATTTATATAATGTTGTAAACCAGTGTTACCTCAAGAAAAACAAATAAACAAAAAACAACAGTGGTGGGAAATGAGGGAAGAGCAGAGGCAATAATTCCAAAGGATAAAGCAGGAACAAAATGTGAGTGTGAAATGAGGTACAGAATATTTGGAAATAATTTGAAATGTGGTGGGAACAAAAAAGATGATGAACATCAGAAATAAAGGAGAGGAAAAAGAATTACAGGACTCGAACCTCTGTTCTAGACTTAGAAAAGTGCTAATATTATATCCCCAGTTTTTATTTTAAATTTCAAGACAGAAACATTTTACATTTCAGTCACTGGTTTTACGTAAACCGTCTGGTCAATTCTTAGTCACACACAGCTTTATGTACATGCAGCCTGGTTTAAGTATGTTCAGAAGAAAGAAAGATGTTTCTTCCTTCTGCCTGAAACAGTCAGGTCTCATTTTCTTTTCTTTCCTTTTCATTGCTTTTCCTTTCTTTTCTCTTCTCCTTTCCTTTTTTTTTTTTTTTTTTGACTAGGCTATAAATTACTGAGAGACCAACTTCTATTTTATTTATTCCTGTCTCCTTGCATTCTCATTAGCTCTGCCTCGAGCTTGTCTCTGGAATTTCCTCATATGTTTTATATAACCTGGCTTCAATAGCTGCACTGGGAGAATGTTTTAAATATTTACTATATAATAATAGCTCCAATATCTAAGGGGTCCAAACCTGGTTATGTTTAAATTAGTCATTAAAATGCAATTGCATTAGTACGTAATACATGTCAGTCTGGAAGTCTGCCTTGCTGGATCCACACTGTCACTATATATATTAAGGTGAAACGGATTCTCTCTTTATAAGAGTAAATAGCCCTTTTGCTGTTTTCTCTTCTCTTAGGAATAAAACAGCTTTTGGAATTATTCTGTATTGATGTGAATGAGCACGAGATGGGAAAATCACATGTAGTTACGGATAATGAGATTCTTGTAATCGACAGGGAGATTAATCTGTCAATTTAAATAAGGGAGCCCTGAGAACGATCCTAGGGCAAAGCCAAAGTAGGGACAGGGTGACACTGAACTCAGACGCAAGGAGACAATTGCCATTTTCAGAATGATACCGCAACAGGAGCTCTGGGTCACAGGAATCTGTAACCCAGATATCCTGATCATGTGCTGAACTGTCTTTCAGTTTCAAAACAGAAACAGCACAAAAAATATTAAATCCTGGAAGCAATTTGTCACATTACTTTTGGGGAGAATTTCCATAAATTGTTAATCTCCTGATGAGAAATACACTTACCAAAGAAAACAGATATGCATTTTATTATAATCATTCTCATTTTATTACATGTTCCTAATTTCTTTGTAGAAATATACCATGTAAGGTCATAATCTCAGAAAACCATTTGATAAATCTTATTCAAGTTTATACATCACTTGTGACTAAATGAAATGTCGTTTATTTTACAACACTGTAATCTGGAACCTCAAGGTCATCAGAAATAAAAAATAAATTACAGATCAATGATAAGTACCAAGAATATAGTTGCAAACAAAAAGGCACATAGCCTCATAGAAGTTGAATTTAATAATTTTTTGTAACGTCAAAAGAAGCATTCTATATTTATAATCCCTCCCTTAAAATGACAAGAAAACTGAAATGTAATGAAAGGCAACAGGGCACAATCCACACTTGAAGAATCTGAGAAATAAAAAGGCACAGGCGTTGATTAAGCCATGTTCTGAGGAAGTAAGTTCTTGTTAAAAGTCGTTTCTAAATTTTTGATCACTGTGCGACTGGCCCTTTTATTAGTCTAAACTTTTGCATGGCTTTTTTTTTAACATTTAAAGTCTCACTTCTTCTTATTTTTCTCTTCTATATCATTTGCTAACTTTGAGTTGCCAGGAATTGCTTTTATCTTTTCTCAGAATTGGAGCTCTTGCAGCATAAATGCCAAAGGAGTTAACTACACGATGTTAGCTTTGAAGTCTCTTCAGTGGTTTCCCTTCATATCTTAAGTCCTCTTAACTGTTTCCGTGTCCGTTCTACTACTCACTCAATTATCCTTCCAATGTTTTGATATCTTTCCCTATTTTGATAATCTAACTTTGAAAATTAATCATTAGAGAGTGTTTTTTTATCTTTAGCATATGCTTCTCCTTTTCAGTCTGTGTCAAATGCATGTTTTTATTTCAATAAAGTGTTTGGAAGAAATTCTCTCATTTAAATAGGTTTTACTTACCATTTTCAGGGGCTTATTATTTTTTATAATTAGGGACAATTTTTCGATACTTTATTTTTTTCAGCTCTTACAATTGTAATTTTGCCATTATTTGTGATCATTTTTCCCACTTAGAGGTTAAACTCCATGAGCAAAGACTTGGTCCTTTCTTCACTCATTATTGCACATTTAATACCTAGCCCATACCTTGTGATTCAATAATATGTGTGAAAGAAATGGACGAATTAGTGTCATTTAGTGTCCTGCATCTCGCCGTCACATGGAGAAAAACTTGCATGACTATTACTTCTCCAATAACGTTTAAGAGAAATAGCCTCATGTCCTTGACTTGATAAGCAGCATTGCATAACAGTTGAGAGTGAGGGCTCTGAAGCTAGACAACCAGGCTTTTCACTCTGGCTAAGCTATATGATATTGGAAAAATTAACAAAATGTTCTTCCTTGGCTTCCTCATATGTAAAATGGAGATGATAATGATATCCACCCTCTAAAGTTGTTCTGAGGATTTGATATGTTAATATCTGTTAAACACGCTGTAGTGCCTGACACCTAGTAAGCACAATATGTGTGTTTACTTAATAGACTAATTTTTCCCAACTTATTTCCTAATGTTACAGACTGAGTTGTGTTTCCCCCACAATTCATATGTTGAAGGCTGTTGGGCAGAAACACCATGCATTGGTTATCGATGTCAGAGGAGGCCTTCATGGAGGATAGCAGAGATCATCACAGTGACAGCCACCAGCAATAGAAGTCTAAACACTTCTGTCTGCTTCATCTTGTTATTGGAGTTGCCAAGAAAATCACAGCACAGTCAAGCACTGGATGGAACAACTCTATACTCATAGAGAGAAGAGACAGGAAACTCGACTCCAATAGCATGTATTGGCCCCCATGGCTGGCAGAAGCCCCCAGCAGCTGACACAGGGAAATTGGCCTACGAGCATTGCTCTTGCCGTAGTGGAAGGATTCCTTCCCTTCCCCCAAGGAGTGAGAAATACTAAATGCTAGGAGTGGGCCAGAACAAAGCAGAGCAAAGGAGTACACATTGAGCCTGCAACTGGAAAACATACTCCCACCCAAGGTGCTAGGCCCAGAACAGGCTGTGTGGACAATTTATCTTCTAGTAAGGAAGTATTCCAGGCCCCTGGCCCCCTCTTATGTGACTGATGGGGTACTCACCATCTGCCTTTCCCAACAAATCTGACTGCATTTGGAGACGGGCCTTTAGGAAGGTAAGTGTTAAGCGAGATCATAAAGGTGGGTCCTAATCCAATAGCACTGACATCCTTATGAGAAGAAGAGACACAAGGGATGGAAGTGCACAGTGAAAAGGACACAGCAAGAAGGTGACCACCTGCAAGCCAATGAGTGAGGTTTTACGAGAAACCAAATCTGCCAAGAATGTCATCTTGGACTTCCAGCTTCCAGAACTGTGAGAAAATAAATTTCGGTTGCTTAAGCCTACCACTCTTGTATTTTGTTATGATAATCCTAGCAAAGTAATATATTAATCATCTTAAGATTCATGAACAATAGAATGCCCTCCACCCGTCTCCCTGCAGAGATAACGTTTTACTGGTGCTTCTTGAGGTGTTTACACCAATACACACACAGGGGACATTTTTTTTTTTTCTTTTAAGGGATGTGGAGGATATGTGACATTTTCATTGCCTTTCCATTTGAAAAATAAAGTTTCAACAAGAAATGTGTAAATAGATTATGTTTGCCATACTATATTGTATAACATTGTTATCAAACTTTGGCCTGTGATATCTTTTAAGTCAGAGACCACAATTTTCTAAATTTGACACTCACCAATTAGTGCAATTACTAACACACGTTAACTACACAAATACGTATTTGGTGAAACACAGACCAAAGCTAATTGGTAAGGAAAAAAGCTTGTGTTTTGAAGCACGTGATTCCATACTCGAGGTATTTCAAATGGCCTGTCGCCAAATATAAGTCTCTGAACAAAGTGTAGAACTATGATTAATGTAAAAGAAAAACTATTTGATGATATTAATTAAAAAGAACCTAAATAATTCAAAACAAAAACAAAATAATAAAATACTAATTTCAAGTTCAAAGTTATGACCATACATAAAATAAATTATTGTAACTTTGATATATTTAATGTCTAAAAGACTCTAAGTCTCCTAAATTTGATGATTAAATGGCCCAATTTTGTAAATGTAATAAAATAAATTTTAAGAAGAATTAAGATTTCTTTTTCTTTTTTTTTTGCTGGGAAAGTTTCACCCTGAGCTAACATCTGTTGCCAATCTTCCACTCCTTTTTATTTACTCCCCAAAGCCCCAGTACATAGTTGGATATTCTAGCTGTAAGTCCTTCTAGCTCTTCTATGTGAGCTGCCGCCACAGCATGGCTGCTGACAGACGTGTGGTGTGGCTCTGCACCTGGGAACAGAACCCAGGCCGCTGAATTGGACCACGCCGAACTTTAACTACTAGGCCATCAGGGCTGGCTCAGAAGAACTAAGATTTTGAAGATAAATTGTTACAGAGTTACAAAAGAAAATAATTAAGTAGATAATTGAATTATTTTGAATGCCTTGGTACTTCCATGTTAGAACATACAGGAATTTCTTAAGTCCTTAAGTGCATTTAAAATAGAAATGTTGGACACATTTAGATAATAGTTATTTCCTTGGCGTACATACTGTCAGGTGCAAATGAATCTTCTTTTTAAGCAGTTTTTTTGTTTAAATAAAACATGTTCAGTGTATAGCTATCGCATCACTGTCACTCTCTAAATCAATATTTACCAACACTTGAGGCCCGAGTGAGGTGGTATATATCTTATGGTTTTAAAATTTTGAAAATAAATTAATTTAAGGCCACTTGTCATCTAATAGATTTAATAATGTGGTTGCGTGTTTACAGTACTTATGCTAAGTAAAAGGTCTGAGGATAAAGACGGGAGTCAGAATCCCTTGCTTCTGCTCCTTACTGTCTAGAGTTTCTTTGGTGTTGATATATGAAAATATTGAAATGTCCGGAGTTTTGCTATCATTATTTTAGGAATGCTCTGCTGAAATTCTAATTCTGACATTGATTTATTTAGGAGACAGAAAGTGTCACAGTTTCTTTTTATTTTGTATACTTTGGATTTGTAGCTGGCTCAGTTTAATATGGCTCCATAGAGACTGAAAAATGTGATAAAAGAAATGAGCTGCGTCGACTCAGGGAGAAGAAAAAAATAAGGAAATGAACATTTAAATTTTCTTATAATGACAGGAGAGAACGGGAAAGGAAGATAACTGTATTCATGAGTGAAGCAAAGGAAGAGACTCTAGAAAAAAGGTGGCCAATTTCTTGACCAGTAAGGAGAGAATAAAGAGAGAAAAATAGAAAAAAAGTAAAGGTAATTTTCATGTTTTAAACTTTTTAGTCACATTTTAAAGAATTTTAACTGGCATATTTTCTATAGGCTTCCTATCCTAAAAGCAAAGAGAGAATACTTGAAAAGTCAGTCTCTTTGAAGTACCGTGATACTTGCCAGCAATTAAAATAGACTCTAATTTTGTTGAAAATGTCATAAGTATGCTTAAAATTATCTGGACCATTATACAAAATATCGTTAATAGTGATTGCTTATTGCTTGATGTCCCTTGATATCAGAATTTTGAATGATTTCAATTTCTTTGCTTGTATGCATTTTTTTGTCTGTCAAACTCTTCAAAATGAGCACATTTAATTTTTCAGTCATGGTTCAAAGCAGAAAATCAAAAATTTTAAGCAGGAAACTTTTTTTACCCCTTGAGCACATAAAATCTTTCCAAGGGCAGAAGAAACAAGTTTTAGGTTGGAACTTCAGAAATGTCTCTCTAAACAACAGAAAATTGACTCATCAAGACACACAATACTTATGAGGTGGCTAATATAATCATGTACCCCATCTTCCTAGCTATGATAAAAGGATCAGAAAATAAGAATGAAGAAGACTTTTCAGCTGCCAAGACAGATGATCACTGAAAAAGGATAGAGAATTTCAACAATAGGTTGGCAGTGCTCATTTATCTTCTATACTTGTCACAATCTAGTACAACCTGGATATTCTTTAACCCAGGAAATAAATGTTCACATTCATTACCACCAACACATATAACAAAAGAGGTAAAAAGATGCATATATACACAGTTGTGTGCTGTATAACATATATACATGAACATATATATACACACACAGTCATGTGCCACATAACAACAGTTCAGTCAACCATGGACCACCTATACAATGATGGGTCTATAAGATTAGTGCTATATAGCCTAGGTGTGTAGCAGACTATACCATCTAGGTTTGTGTAAGGGATACTGAACATATCAATCTCAAATTTGTGTGCCCAAGGCATAATAAGCCAATCACTGAGACATGGGTGCTTGGAGATGGAGAAAGGTTTGTTCAAATTGGCCAAAATGAGAAGGCAGGAGCATGGATTCTCTCAAGTCTGGCTGAACAAGAGAAGAAAGCATTGTTTTGATTAGCATTTCCCTGATAATTAATGATGTTGAGTATCTTTTCATATGCCTGTTATGATCCAGAAATTCCATTTCTGGGTGTATATCCAAAAGGAAATCAGGATCTTGAAGAGATATCTGTACTCCCATATTTATTGCAGTATTATTCACAATAGCCAAGAGATGAAAATAACTCAAGTGTTCATTAACAGATGAATAAAGAAAATGTGTTATATATATATACAATGGAATATCATTCAGCCTTGAAAAAGAAGGAAATCCTGCCGTTTGAGACAACATAGATTAACTTGGAGGACATTATGCTAAATGAAATATGCCAGTCACAGAAGGACAAAAACTGCCTGATTCCACTTATATGAGCATTTAAAATAGTCAAAATCGTAGAGGAAGAGATACAATAGTAGTTGCCATGGGCTGGGGGAGGCAGGGAATGGAGAGTAGTTGTTCAATGGGTATAAAGTTTCAGTTAAGCTAAATGAATAAGTTCTAGACATCTGCTGTGTGACATAATGCCATAATGTACAACAACATAGCTGACAATATGGTATTGTGCATTTCAAAATTAAGAGGGTAGATCTCACGTTAAGTGTTCTTACCACATGCACACATACACACAAGAGACACAAGGAAACTGTGAGCAATGTTGGATACGTCTATTACCTTGATAGTGGTGATGATATCACAGGTGTTTGCATATGTCCAGACTCATCAAATTGTAAACACTAAATATGTGCAGTTCTTTGTATATCAATTATACCTCAAGGAAACCATTAAAAATAAACAAACAATCTCCTAAACTGTGGATGTCCGATGTCTTGTGGAAAGGCATAAAAATGGTTCACGAGTGGATTGCTAGATATGGAAAATTGCATGCCTGTCTCACTTTCCTTTGTACCTGGGCTCTGCCTTTTTCAGAATGTCATGCCCATATTCTAAAAGGCCGGATGCTCCTCGTAGCTGGGACACAGAGTAAAAGCAATAAAATCCATGCTTCAGCCCATTGCTTCTCCTCTCTCACTGTAAATGTAGTTATTTATTCTCATAAACAAGATTTTAATTCTGTAATGTTCCACCTCCAACTGGTGCCAACTTATCATGCAGAAGCATCTGTAAAGCAGACTAAACTGTCTTCTGCCTCACTTACCTGACCATAGCAAACTCCCCATGAGGTCATTGTGATGGGTTGGTGGTAAGAGGCAATGTAGCAGGAGTGGGTGCTCTGGGAGCATGATCCACTCACTTGGGCAACTTACTTGTGCTTTCAGAACAGACTTGAGGCCATACTCTTATACAGCATTTTTACTTGATGGTACAGGAATGCTGCTCACACATTTATGGCTTGGCCGATTAGATAATGCCCATTCATTTTGCAGGCTCACTTTTAGGTCAATGGTATTTAATCTCCACTAGAACCCAAAAGGGATTTTCTTCAAACCCTAAGAGCCCACATTGTAATTCTCTTTGAGGACTTGCAACAGACTCCACACACATCCTAATATGCCACAGGAATTTGGAGAGTCATTGGTTCTGCCAAGTCATATGCAGCAGAGATGCATTGACTACAACTTGAGCCAGCTCTTAGAGCCTTTGTAAGGTCTAGACCTCCTATTCAAAATCTGGTAGCATTAGAAATTAATTGGTTGGGGTCAGCCCAGTGGCACAGCGGTTAAGTGTGCACGTTCCTCTTTGGTGGCCCAGGGTTCACCAGTTCCAATCCTGGGTGCGGACCTACGCACCACTTGTCAAGCCATGCTGTGGTAGATGTCCCATGTGTAAAGTAGAGGAACATGGGCACGGATGTTAGCCAAGAGCCAGTCTTCCTCAGCAAAAAGATGAGGATTGGCGGTAGATGTTAGCTCAGAGCTAATCTTCCTCAAAAAAAATTAATTGGCAAAAGAAAACACATTCAATTTGTTGTACATTATCTCTCAAGTCAAAAGAGGACAAATGAGCTGTGGGCCCCTTTCTTAGTCCTAGGAAGTACAATGGACATCAACTTTGCTTTTTCCTTTAAAGAGGAAATCCTAATATGATCCAGGCCAGGAAACACCAAGGGTTGTGACTGAAATTGAAAACTGAAAGTTGATAAATTTTATCCCTGTTTAACAAGCATGTTTCTTGCCAAATGTTAGAGGGTATCGACTATGTCCTATCAGCGTGTAGACATCAATATGATGGACCAACATAATGTCTTTTGAGATATTGGGTTAATCTCGATTCTTCAAACTAAATTATGAGAACTGTAAAGGGAAAAGAGACCTTAGAAGTTTAGTGCTGTCATTACTAGTTGAAAGCCAACTGCCATTGGTATTTTCAATTTATTGATACAAAGCAAAATCATTTGGCAGTTTGATAGCTGCATGATAGGTGCCAAGGGCGATGCTAATTGCTCCTATAAAGAGACTACATCTGGAACAACAATTGGAGTCATCATCAGATTTTATGTGGTGGTTTCTCATTCCTGCCAGGTTTCATCTCCAAACAGACATGTTGGAGTTGTGATAGGAATAACCACCCAGAGTCTCTGCCCTTTCCCCCGGCATGCAGCGTTGCTTCCATTGCTCTCTTTTGGTAGGGACAGGCGGGTTTTAGGGCGAATCTTTGGCTCCTCTTAACTACTGAATCCACTCTGAAAATGACATAAAACTCTTACCACCCGTCTGTAAGTCCTACCTCTGGTGGAACAGAGAGGCATTATAGATCTGCAAAGACAAGCATGATTTCAGAGCCAGTGACCAGTTAAACCTGTAAATTATACCAGTAAATGCCTGGGGTTTCATATTCATTTAATATGAGCTCCCTGTAAGACTGGGTTTTAGTCAAACAACTAAACAAACCATGTGAACTCCTCCTGGCTGCTCTGGGTAGCACGTTATGATCAGAATCTTACATAAGTATAGCCATATTGATTATGTTGCCCCAATCTAATATATTATGTCCTTCCCTTTCTGGCACATTTTGAGTACATTTCCACATAAATTGCTCAGGATTGCTAAGATAAATAGAGAAAATAGGGGCCGGCCCTGTGGCGCAGCAGTTAAGTGTGCACATTCTGCTTCAGCAGCCCTGGGTTTGCCAGTTCTGATCCCGGGTGTGGACATGGCACTGCTTGGCACACCGTGCTCTGGTAGGCATCTCACATATAAAGTAGAGGAAGATGGGCACGGATGTTAGCTCAGGGCCAGGCTTCCTCAGTAAAAAAGAGGAGAAGTGGCAATAGTTAGCTCAGAGCTAATCTTCCTCACAAAAAAAACCAAACAGGTCAGGTAAAAAAAACCCAGATTCCCATCCTGAAGTGTCTGCTTTTGCTTCCACTTCTGGGATCAGCCAAATCAAGCACAGGAAACAGAAACCACTCTACACAGGTGGTTTTAAACAGGCACTGTCACAAATCACAGGCACTGAGGGAGCAGGTTCTTGGCTACCACGAAGGCATAACTCCCAGATACCACAGCACTTTCTTGCTACCACTGAGAATTGAAGCCATAACTTCAAGCATACACCCCTGAGAACAAAATTTAGGAGAAAAAAACAGAATCAAGAAGCTGCTACTGCTGATGCCACAGGTGTCTCTTAATACAGTGGAAGCTGAATGAAGAGCTACAGAAAATATCCAAAAAAGACAAAAATATTCAGGATACTGGTCTCTGCTTCATTTTTATCTTCCAAACCTCATGTACATGTTCTTAATTTGCAGATTTTTTTTTCATCCAGAACCAAAGCTACAGGGGAATATGGGAAGTAAAGCTGTAGATTTCCAACCTCTCTAAGACGAGAGGGAGTGATGAAAATTGAGACAGATACTCCACAGTATCTACCTCACATTTCAAGAATAAAAACATCATATTAAACACAAACAAGTAAACAAACAAACAAAAATGCAGAG